CATTACTGAAAGTGCACTGGTCAATAAGGGTGAAAGGTATTGGGGAAAAATGATAAATATTGTATACATAACTTTGGGTATAAAGATAGGTGACCGCCCGGAGGGCAGGGAGTGTGCTCATGGCTGGCTGCTGAGCAGACCTCTGTCGGGCCGAGAGAAAATCTTTTAGATAAACAATTAATAAACACCGAGACTGAGAAAAGATCTGAAGCCTCTTCTGTTCCTTTGAAACGCGGGCTGCCCCAAGGCCACCCCGGGCCTTTCCAAACTATCTAAACAGCCAAAAATCGGACATCTGGCGTCCGCTGGGTGAGCAACCCCCACCAAAACCTTTCGCGGGGGGGAGCAGCCTTGAAGCCCTGAAGAGCAGAAGAGCCAAGAGGGCAGCTCCGACCTTGGACGAGCTCCCAGGAGAGCACTGATAACTCCTGAGGAGAGAAGCCTGAAGAAAAAAAAAAAGAGAAGAAGAGAAATAAAAAGAGATGTCCGATTTTGCTTTTCTGGCCCAGACAGAACACATAGGCTGCTGGGGGGTTTTGCTACCTTTAAGGAGATGTATTTGTTGAGACTGTTAATTGCTGACAGATACCCAGAATGTTGTAGTGGGAGATATTTGTATTGTTTACTACTTTATATAAGTCCCCTATTTATTCTAGAGCCTGATGACCATCTAACAGTTGCCCAGTCACTAAAGAAGGAATTTGACAACCCTGAAACTGCAGACCTGAAGTTCCTAGTGGATGGAAAATACATTCATGTTCATAAAGTTCTTCTTAAAATTAGGTAAGAAACAAACAGTATCAATTGTATAAACTAAACTGTGCAGTGTAGTCCACTGTGCTGAGTCATCACTGCAAAAAAGTTCTTGACTTATTCTTAAAAATTCCCTTTTCCCTGAGTCAGGGACTCATCTGCTGTTCTTCACTGTTACTCTCTTTGTAATTATCAAACATGTTGCTCTACTACCTGCCTACACTTCCCTCCATCTGACATTTATCGTCCTTTATGCTCCTAAATGGCCTTGACCTCAATTTCCAATAACCTTTTGCTGCCAAGGAAAAAGCTCACTTCCTTCTGCTGTCTTGTCAGTAGTTAGAATCAGTTTTTTCTTCCTTTATATGCTTGGGTGCCTCCACCAGAATGATTTGAGGGGCTTGTGTTTATTCTTGGCACTCTTTCCTTCCACAGAACACTTCAGTTGTTTCAGCATCTTCCAGATGATCTCTTTCCTCCTTTTATGATAGATTTTGTGTTCTATGTGTTTTAAACATTCTAACCAGTGAGTTTGACTTTTAAACTGGTTTTTTTCTCTTTTTACAACTTTTTGCAAGTTAAGACCACTTTATGGTGAGATTTTACGTAAGCAGATCTACAGAATTATCTCATTGTTATTAACATGCAGAGAGATTAATTTGTTACTGCTAATGTGGTTTCTCCTGTGATATTCTAGAGACACTGCTTTAGATCTCTTCTGCCTTGCTTCCTCATTGCTTCTGCTTCATCCTCCTCATTGTTATAATATTTTTCTCTCTTTGCTATTTTTTTTCTCAAAATGCTCGGCTATCTCACTCAGCTTATCACCACTTTCATCTTGCTACTTTTGCTCCTGAGCCCTCTTAGTGATTTCTTGTATATTACTGTGTGAAATTAAAATTCCCTGTTAATTCTTGCCTGTCCTTGTTTTGTTGTTCAGTTTTTGGGTTTTTCTGCTATCATCTTACTTTTTTTTCTGCTATCATCTTACTACTCTGATTACCTGTATTACTTTTGTTTTCTCTTTACTAGTCTCATTGCTTGTTCATTACATTCATGCCTATAGTCCACCTTCATCATTTGGAATGCCACGTGTTCTCCATCAGATACCACACCAAATCTTGTGTATGCCCAAAATGTTCCTGGCAGGGGGATAGAATACAAGAAAATAAAGATAGTGTAGAAAGTAATCTTACCCCTAAGGAGTTGCAGCTGGGCCCATCACCAAGGGTTAGGAACAGGCCTGACTTTACCAGGCCACAGCTGTGACCAGTGAGAAGAAGAGCGCTATAAAAGAGAGCACTTTTATAGGTTGAGAAGGGAGCTGGAGTCAGTTGGCTGCTTTGTGAAGAGGGAAGGGTCAGTGCTCTGAGGAGCTGCCCACAAGAAACTTTTGCAATCAGGAGACAACAGTATGGAGCCCCTGCAATAAGATGACAACAGTTCCTGAGGTTCGTTTTCCTGATAATCAGCCTATATGTAGCTTTCCCATGTTTCCTTTTTCTTGCTCTATTTTTATCAGGTTATATGGCATTCTGTGAAGGAAATATCTAATTCTAAAATGGTATTACATATATGGTGTTACCAAAATACTGTGAGGGAATAATAAAGCACAGGCACAGTCTGTAAAATTAATATTTTCTTTACTGTCATGGTGCAACTGGATCAAAGTATTTAAAAAGGTGTTTTGCAACATTTGGCCTGGAGCATTGTCATGAAAGCAGTGCTGCTAAAAGTTCCTTTTTGTTGTTTAGTCATTTCTTTACTGCTTATGAGGACTTCTTTCCATCTTGTTCTATTCCTGCTCTTGAGCTGGATCCCGTTGTTGGTGGTTACTGGCTGGCAGTGGTGGAGGAATGGCAGGGAGCACCCAGAATGTCCTTGAGAGCAGCCCAAGGCCATCAGTGCCTGCAGGAGCAGGGACATCCCAGTGCAGGGGTGGGATTTGCCAGGCCTGCATTCAGCCAGCCAGAGCAGGATGTGTCTGCACTGGGTCCGCTCAGGGATAGCGACAGCGAGAGAGACGCTCCAACAGATCGGTCACTCCAGGATAATTGCAGACTGGAGGATGTGTGCTAACCAATTTTTATTTTCACTGGCTTAATTTTTCAGGGATCAGTGTGTACCACCTTCTCTCTGACTTTTGTGTGGTGCCATTGGAGCACAGACCATTCCCAAGGTCTGATCCATGCTGGATGGATAGCATGGTCACCCCTACTTAACATGGGGCTCTGGGAAGCAAAACAATGAGGTTTTGTCTGCCTCTCCCAATGCCAGAATGTAGTAAAAGATGTGGCAGAAGCTAGATGATGACTCTATTTCTTTATGAATTTGACAAGAGGTTCCATTATTTTATTAAAATCCTCAAAATACTAAGATTAAAAAAGTTCTTTCCTTAGCAAGTAAAATGTGAAGAACTTAAGTCATTAGTTAAATAATTACTTTTCATTTGGATTTAAGTACTACTGTCTTTAAGTTGTAGTTTTGTCTCAGAGACATTAAAAGGAAATCATCTTACTTTTTACAGGGAAGTTTGAGTAAAAGAAGAGAAAATTCAGATGTGAGTGAGTTACAAATTAGTGTAGTACAAAGAAGTATGATTAAATTGTGGTTCTTTTAGGAGAAGTTATCAGAAGTGGAGATGTTCATTTTTATCACCAAAAAATTTGAAAACAATGTGCATGCTAGGATGCTTTTCAGGGAACAGTAAGGTACAGTGCATTGTAAATTACTGTGAACTGGAAGTTACAGATTACAGCTACCAAAGGCAGTACTTTGTCCTGTTTGTATCTGTCACAAAAGTGCTCAGACTTGTAAGGAAAAGATGATGAAAGATCTGAGTGAGAGTGTCTTCACTTTCAGTAATTTAATTCTTGAATGTCATGATTAATGCTAAATTGTGTATGGACTCTGACACTGGAATAAATGATATCTGAAATTATTAATAATTTCCCTCTTCATTGGGAAATGCTGGAGAAATCAGGGTCAAATCTCAGAAGTGTCTAAGTTAATTGTAAACTTTGTGTGCTACAAGACAGGTAATAAAATTGGTTGTTAATGTATAATCGATTTCAAAAAATGGCACCAAAACTAGATGGATAATCCTTGTAGACTATTGTAAGTAGAAATGGATTCTGCCAAAAAAATATTAACAACAGAAATGAAATTCTGAGTTATATATATCAGGCTTGTAAGACTTAAAGAAATGAACATGTTCAAAGCAAGAAATCATGTAGCTAGAGGTTCTGCTTTTGTATTTAGTCTGTGGGACTGACTTATTTTTTTCACCAACTTCTTGCTGCAGCTTATCTTTCAAGCTTAACTCTTTGCCATGTACAATTTTTGTTTGTGTTTTGTAGGTGTGAACATTTCCGCTCCGTACTCAATAATGATGATGAAATTATAGAAATGAGTGCATTTTCTTACCCTGTTTACCGAGCCTTCCTGGAATATCTGTATACAGACAACATTAGGCTCCCTCCTGAAGATGCAATAGGTATTTGCCATAAATGCAGATTACTCTAGATGATTATTTTTGAGAAGTTCAATCTGTGTGTCATTACAGAGTAAGGAAAGTGGGGCTTGTTGGTTTTAGTTTCTTCAGCACTTTAATCTTGAATTTGGCAGGTATCAGGAAGAAAAGATGCAGTATCAGGACACATGCCCAAGGAGGATAAGTGGTGGGCATGCAATGAGACCAAAGGTGAAAAGTTTTCAGAAAGAACTCGTTGCTCTTACTAAGAACTTCCCTTTATTTAGAAAGGCACTACTGCCATCCTGAAAGTTTACTGGTTTGAGTAGCTGTAGTGATTTTTGATCCTGAATGATAAGTCAGTAATTGATGTCCAGAATGAGAACAAGAGAATAGAACACTTCCATAGTAATAAAATGGTTCCTTTTTGGATAGGTCTGTTCCTTTTTGGATAGGTCTGTAGGGGACCTTAAAAATGCACACATCACGTAGGGAAAAAAACAGAGCACATCTTTGATTAATTCAGCCTAAAACAAAAGGATGATTGATTAACTTGAAAAGCCACTAATATATTTTGCACCAGAATAGTTAAAGCTGTATAAATCTTCACAGGGCTGCTAGATTTGGCAACACTGTATAGAGAAAACAGACTGAAAAAGCTTTGCCAGCAAACGATCAAACAAAGCATTTGTGAAGAGAATGCCATTGCTCTCCTGTCTGCTGCTGTCAAGTACGAAGCTCAGGTAAGAACTTCTCCTCAGATAAGCAGATGTTTTCTGAGAAATGAAGCTGCCTAATGTAAACATGACTGTATTTAACTGATGAGGCATGATTACTGTAATTTCCTTTTCTGGCTTAACAAATGTTTTTTTTTCCCCCTTTTAAGCTGTTAAATAAAAATTTTAAAACTCCCAGTTTAGTGTTTTCTTCCTGCCCTTTTGGCTTGCCCCTGTGAGTCAGGGTTTTTAATCTGCTTCCTTCCTTGTCATGTGGCATTGCAGGGCTTGGCATACAAATTTCTCACTGCCATTTACATCTCTGCCTTTGGATTTTGCTCTTTTACTTCCTGAGTTCTCCACCTGATCATTTTGTCTGCCGGTGTCTGGTGCAATCATTCTGGTGCTGACTTTTACAGGCAGTGGAAGGAGTCAGCTGTAAAGTCCCTGCATATTTACACTTGTGCTTTTATAAAAAAAATCCACTTTAGCAGTGCTGTTTACAATGAATTATGCTGACATAAAATAAATTACCTATTGTTAATACTCCCCCCATATCCTGTCATCTGCTCTGCCCTTGGTTCTGGAATGAGTCACTAGCAGTCAGCCTGTTATCCATGCTTTTTTTGTAAAGAAATACTTTCAAAGATATTTTCCTTTTCTCATCTTCCTAGTGCTGTGATGATTGTGGAAATAACTGTGTGGTGGGCTTATTATTCAAAAAGTCTGATTATGTATTTCAGATGTAGGAGACATTGTTAGAAATACCTTTCAGGTATGGGAGGCAAGTAGAAGAAACGAACACTGAATTAATAATAATGTTACAATAGTCAGTGCTGTTTGGAGACAGCAAACTACAGGAGATGAATTTGTGTAGGAGTTGCAAAGAGGAGACTGGAAGTCAGTGAGTTCTGTGCATTGAAAGAGAGGATAACAAGAGATCAGTAGATAGTAAGAGTGCCAGCTGCCAGTTCCAAGGCATTTGTAACCCGGGTAGCAGAAACAGAGGGCATGGATGGCATGGACAGCACAGTGTGCTGTGCTGCTACAAGCCCAGCATGGCATGGAAAACTCTACAGGAAAGCATGACCCAATGGTTTGGTTCTCTTAACAGCAGATTTTTCATTAAAATTTTATTCTTTAGTTTCTCTTCCTACAAACTTCCCAAAATTTTTGAACATCTTCAAAGCAGAAGTACTTTTGGTTGGTCTGTATCTGGTGAAGGAGTTAAAGATATGTTCAGGTGTGTTGTGAAGTAGTGAAACTAGCCTGAACAAAGTACCAGAGTTCATAAGGCCTGAAGCACAATAAAAGGGATTGCTGGATAACTAAATACATGTTATCCTCCTCTTCCTTCTATGATTCAGTGTTTTGCTCTTTCAAAACATGTGACAGTTTAGCACAATTGTCAGATGAGGAATTGCTCAGCATGTGCCAAACTCAGGAGTGTATTGTTGCCCTCCTCCCTATACCCATGGCTCAGAGAGGGATGGAAGTGCAGCAGAGATTTCTTTATCAAAGACACGGGGATAACCTCTGTTATAAATCAGGCTCTTCTAGTGTACTACACTAATATAGTAACTCCTGGTTTGAGAACCATGTGCAGTGTCAGGACTTCAGTAGAAAACTGCCAAAAGAAGGATTATGAAAGAGGCCTGATATTTTGGAAGTTTGAAAAGATAGAATTCCTTTTTTTAATCATTAAATATGAACACTGCAAGTGGAAGATTATAGTGGTGTGTGACATGCCATTGACATTGCAAATTAAATGAAGGTTAACTTGACTACTGTATACATCTGTTAAGATTTAAGATGTACAAAAATATTTTTTCCTATCCTCAGAAAATACAAAGAGTTTCTGCTACAAATTATTTTAAAGCGTATTTCTCATACACACTGTAGCAAAGTTTAGACTAATCTTCTATAAAACAGAATTAAAAAGACTCAGTATTTCTTGAAACTGCAAAATGACTGATTCTCTATAATCTATGGTCCTATTCATAGCAGCATCAGAAAAACTAGCTGCTGATAGTTTTAGCTAGCATAAAAATTTACGCATTGACTGCAAAGCAGCTCAGGTTCTAACAGTACCATTTCAGAAGTCTGCTGGAACTTAGGGTGTCACTGTCTTTGATTGTCTACATTTTTTATTTCCTCTGGTTTTTTGCTTTTTCTATTCTCATTTCTCTTCTGCTTTCCCAGTAGTTGTTGATGAGAGATACCTGCTATACCATATTTCTTCTTTAAGGATATTTTGTGTTTCAGTTTATGCTCTAGTTACGTCTTGAAACATGCAATCTAAGGAAAAGTTTTCAAAAGGAAATGCACAGGTAGTCTGCTGAATATCTTGCTACTATTAATGCCAGGCTGCAATGTTTGTGTAGTTAACATAGAATCAAATTGGCATGGGTTACTCTTTTTGCTGTAACCCTTGAAGAATTTTATAGTTTATGGTTTAATTCTGACTTCCTTGCTGCTGGCTCCAGCTCTGGCTGCAGAAGGTAATTAATTTTTCTTCACAGCAAGTTGTTGCATAGGAGCCAACTAAGGGAGGCTGAGCCAGTGCATGGAGAGAAAGATTGCCACTCTTGTGAGGAGTCTGAGTGGGAAGAATTTGCTGCATGCAATCCTGGTTGTTTGGCTTGTACCCATGTTGTGCTGAACTGCTGAGCATCTTCTTACAGTGAGACCAGGACAAGACAGAACCTTTTGTGCTATCTGGGAATCCCATTAGACAGAGGAATTCAATTCCTACGTTTGCCACGAAAAACATATGTATCCTAACATGCAGTTTGTGTTCAGCAAGCATCATCCCCTTTTACATCATATTTTGCTTTTATTTACAGCATGACTAGCAGATCTGCTGTTTTTCACAGGACATTCACTACTGAATTCAGTGCAGGGAAGACAAGAAATGAGTTATTGATGCTCTAATAGTTCTTTTTGGGCCAATTTGATGGCTTCACTTGTTGGTAACTTTTCTAATGAGTATGTAGTAAATTCTAGTAAATGTGATGGAGGTCTAGAGTTTATTTAGGTGGCTACTCCTATTTTCTCAAAGTGGGTTTATTGAATAGTTTGTATGAAAAAACTTCATCCTATCATTTGTGATCTCATCAAAAGGATAGAAAAGGGGTTGATAATGGGAACAATCTGGTATATTTTTTGCTAATTAAATGACAGATTTGAAACAAAGTAACAATGTTAATAATTTTATCAGTCATTCATATTACAAATTACTCAAATTTGTTCCTAGGACTTGGAAGAATTTTGCTTCAGATTTTGCATAAACCATTTGACTGTTGTTACACAAACTCAAGGCTTTGCAGACATGGACCATGACCTCCTGAAAAACTTCATTAGCAAAGCCAGCAGAGTGGGAGCATTCCGAAATTGAGGTCTGACTACTACAGAGCTGAAGAGCACATCCTCTTCCCTTTGGAGAACTCCCCCGTGGTCAGAATGTGCAATGGTTTGGAAGGAAAGTCTTGGTGTCCATCAGCTTAGGGAGTGTGTAGAAGTCCACTGACATGTAGGCTTTGTTGTAAGGATGGCTACAGTGTAGGTGTGTGGTGACTGTTCCTTGCCAAGAGCCAGAATTTAACACAAAAATCTAATGCAGCAGCTACCCTTTCCCACCCAAAGTCAAGCAAACTAAGCTTGACATTATCTAGGCTGTCTAGTTATTAATTTTTTTTAAAGTCTGTGTTTTGATTTTATGGCACAGTGACCTCTTTGCGGCTAAAACTTTCAGAGTCTGTTTTTGTCTCAAAGCTCAGTTAATATGCCATAATGGGCTTCTTTTTATAATCCAGTGGAAATACAAACTTGTGTTTCTGGACATGTGGTAAAGTTCCATAAGTTCTTTAGGATGCAAGGCTTTGTGGTTTGTAGGAGGGTATGTCTCATTTGTTGTTTATTTGGGAGTTAATTTATGAGGAGCTTCAACAGGATATTACAGTTTTGAGTTCTTGTCTCATTGTTTAGCCAGAATGAAAAGGATCTCCTTTTCCATTACACCAGGCATTTCCCTGGCACCCCAATGGAAGCACTCATCAGGTTTGTCTGGGATGTGAATTGTCATGCTGTGAGTTTGACTACTAAGAAAACCACCTAGTTACAAACCCAAACAAGCATTCTTCAAGTTCTGCTTGAGGCATATTTATTCCTGTTTTACTATCTCTCCTCAGATCAACTTCAGAAAAATGGAGAAAAAGGTGATTTTGAAGTGGTAACTTCAAATTAATTAAACTGTTAAAAGTGAAATGACATTATATTCCAAATGGTGATAAAGGTAACTTGTCCAAATAGGGCATTCCAGATTCTCCTATGGTCAGAGCTGTGAGGTGACCGCTCCACTTTCCTTTCAGGGCTGTTCAGGAGAGAGGAGATGCCCTCTGGCCATGCCTCTCTCCCAGCACTGATCATTGGTGGCTGAGGTAGAGTAGATGCTTCATTCCTAATTGGCTGAAGTGAATTAAGGTGAAAACCCACCCAGTGCTGCACAGAGAGAGGTTTGCCCCATTACAGAAGATGTGGAGCTTATGGAGCATTTACTTGAAGTCACTTCACTCAGTTAAAATCTGAAATTCTCAAGGTTAATTCACAGTTACCTGTCACAAAATTCAAGTGCCTTTTGCAGTATTTTACAAAGTGGGAAGAAAAAAGCTGGGTGCCCAGGCTCAGGACACCAAATGGACTCAAAAATACAATTATGGACTCACAAATATAATTATGTAAGTAGTCATGCAGCCTTCCTGCAGGTCCCTGCTGTGCCACAGCATCCTTCAGTGATGTTTTCTAATCCTCAAATGTGCTTTCTAAGAACTTAATTCCCTTAAATTACCACATCTTTGTGTCTAAGGTGGAAATAGCTGTTCTTTGCTATATTGGAGGCTCATTTCTGTAACAATCCTGTTCTTTGAGGAACAGTAGGAGAAAAAGGAGGAAGAGGAGTAGTGAGTAGTAACCCCTTCACCCCAGGCCCTGTGTATATGACTAGAAAGGTGAAGCACACAGGTAGCAGAATTTACTTAGGAAGAGGGTGATGAGCAAATATTTTAGAAAATGCTGTGGTAAATATTTAATCATGTTTTTGACATTTGCCTTAGACCCTCACTAGAAATACACTGGATTATCTACTGCTAACAAGCACATTCTGCCACCCCCTCAGTGATGAGTACGACTTCCTCCAGCAGCGTTAAGTCTGTTCTTAGCAGCTGTGTCAGTATTTTGTATTCAAACAGAAGTGGTCAAAGCCTTTCCAATCCATAATGCAGATTCATCACAAACACAGCTTTGCTGGGGGAGGAGATCAGTTTTGTTAAGTTTGTGTTGAGAAGCACTTGGCACCAGCACACAGCCAGAGATTCCTGCAGACAGTGGAACTGTGTCACCATAGGACACACATAGGACACAATTTTGCTGTAGCCCAGCACTGATCATACCAGTGTGGGCACAAGGGATTCCATGAAAGCCAAGGCTGCAGATCCCTGGCTAAGCCTGAGATGCCAGATTCCCCTGCCAGCACTTCCTTCAGGGTAGCAGTGCGCAGAACAAGGGTGTAGCACCACATCCCAGCCTTGGGGCAGCAGCTGGCACCAGCCCCTGTCCCACCCACCCCCATGGCAGCACACTGGCACACATCCAGTCCCACTGGGAAATGGAACCAGCTGGGAAACCCCGCCCCTGGTGCTGGCTTGGCACTGAGCACTCCAGCTCTTTCCATAATCCAAAGGTGTGGATTATGAAAGGCCTCTCCGCATGTTTCTGTTGTTTTACTCACAAGAATGAAAAAACTATAAGCGTTACATGATGGGGGTTTTTCTGACTCAACATCTGATCACAAACCTTCCCTGGCTCTCTGGGGACACTGCTCCATGGAATGATAGCACTAGAGAGAGACACCACTCCCTCCATTACCTCAAGTTCATAATGAAGTAGTTGAACAGGGATTGCAGCTGAAATGGCATGCAGCTTGGGACAAGACATTTTTGGCTTAATAGAACAAAGTGTCATTTTTTCTCCAATTTACTTCCTTCCTGCTCATTATTTCCAGCCAACCACACACATTAAAGCCTACTTGCAATTTCAGAATAATTGACAAAGCCTGTAATTTTGAGAAAAAGCATCTCTGGACTGAATGAGGGTGATTCTAAAGGTCCAATGTCTCAGTGTTGGCTTTTATTTTGTATCATCGGACCTGGATGTGATAGTGTTACATTCATAGAAACATTTATTTGTTTTTAATTTTCATTGCATGTGTTCAAAGAAAAACCACCCTTACTGGCTTAGGTGGTTAAATGTGGGTGCATGGATGTAAATATTGAAACCCAACTGTGGGACATTTCTGAAGAAATTAGGGATGCTTTTTACTGTGGTGAGATGGACTGCAGCAACCGTGTGTTTATGTATCTTGCAGACTAAATACTTAATAAAGTACTGTTGTGTTTTAGGATACAACAGAAAAAAGGTATTTATTAAAAAGTGAACATTTGGTCAAGCAGAAACTGTGTCTGGGGTTGCAATAAAAAGCAATGTTCTGTTTTCAAGAAAAGAGTCTGGAAAAAAAAAGAAAGTACATGGGTAGGATCATTTGAAGGTTCTACTAAGTTACTGAAGCTAAAAGCCAGCACTGCCTTGTCATCTAGTATCCACCTGTAGAGTTCTGTTACAATGCTTGGTAACTATGTAAACTGCTCTTTTTGTATGATCTGAACATTTTCCATGGACTTTGCTTGTAAAACAAAGCATTTATTTGCCCCAGAGAGGCAGGATTCATTGGCCACCACCCAATGATGTAGAAAGTTTACAGCCTGATTTTACATAAATGATTTTTTTTGTTCTATATAAGCTTACCTGGTTTAATAGACCATTAATAAAAATGCCATAATATTTAAAACTGTTTGAATGGGACTTTTTTCCTTTCTTTTCAGTAAAAATGAAGAAAGTTTGATGGTTGCAGACTGAATTGACTGTGGGGGGGGGGGGAAGTAAAGCAGATAATATTTCACAGAGGTACCTTGAAGGCTATTTGTGTTCTTAGGAAATCACTGTCACCAGATAGCACATTTGTAAGCTGGAGAATGTCTTCAAGTGTATTTCCACCTTTAAAAGAAATCAATGCCCTGGTGACTTAATAAACTGTGATTAATAAAATGGTCCTCAGAACACCAATCATTGTTTCTTAAGCAAATGTAAATTATGACAAGCTTGTTACATGTAAAATATTTCAGCTTGTAGCATGGAAGAAGAAATAAGCTCCTATGACATGTAAGAACAAACAGCATTTGGAAACAGCAGACAGCAGGAAGAGATTAAGGTATAAAGCATCAAATGAAGAGGCTGGGAGTCAGCTCATCCACCTCACATGGCTACAGAGCCAGGCTGACACACATTCCCTTAAGCACCAGTGGACAGAAATGGGCCTTTAAAGGATACAATTTACCTGACCTCATCTTACACCCAGGGCAGCTGCAGCTTTCTACAGAAATTGATGCCTGGTGTTAAGAGCACCTAAAATGGCCTTCACATTTTGTGCCCAGCTTCTGCTGTGATTCCAAATTTTCTTTTTTCCTGGAAAAGTTTCAAGATTCCAGGCCATTTTTAGTACAGCAAGGTCTCATTCTAAGAAAAGTGGTGTCAAACACAGTAAGATTTCCATATCTAATAAAAAGCCATTAGTTTCAGTATGTATTTATTTGGCTAGGTACCATATGAAATCACCTAATATAAGAAAATCACTGACTGTAAATCCTTTAAAAGCTATTTTATTTATCTTGAAAGGCAAGAAACTGATTAGTTGTATAAAATAATATTGTACATTTGATGTAAAGCCTTCAGTCTGTTTGAACAAAAAAAAAACATTGTCACAGTAAAGAAAGAATGAATCTGTGTAGATACTGGACTCTGTATCATCCCTCCAGCCCAAGGACTGCTGTAACAGAGCTTACAGTCAGTGCACCCCAATGTTAACATATATCCTGTCTGAGAAACTGCAGAAAGTGAGAAAATAAACATAAGGTACTCTAGAAAGTTCTGTACATTTTCAATAAGGAAGTTGGAGCCATACTGAGTCTAAAACACCCCTCAATATTATTTTTAAATTAATTTACAGTTTTTGCTGCTCATAGAATTTTTAGTAGTTCTATGGTTAGCTTTGAATCAACACAAGAACTTTGAAAAACTTCCTACTCTAAGTACTCTAGGATCAGCTAAACAATCTGTAAATAAGCTCCCTGGAAGACATTGGTTTAAAATGTTTGTGCCATTAATAGCATGCTTTTTTATTGTTCTTGACTTAAGAAGCTGCAAAAGCTAAAATTCATAAAAATGGGTAATTTTGAAGCAGGACAATTGATTTACTTATATTTTAATCCACTGGAAATAAAACATGTGCTTTTGTTAATTAGCTATTTTAAAAAAACTTTCTTGTTGCAAGAAAAGTTCCAGTATCTGAATCAGTAACTTACAAATACAAAATATGAAAAAAGTATTGGATGGTTTTGTTTGGGTTTTTTTGCTAGCTGCAACCATTGACAAGCTGCCCAATTATCTGCCTTTTCAGTAAAGGCAGAAGGGTTTTCCCAACGTGGGTTCACCACGTTCAGGTTTTTGCAGATGCTGCAGAAAGGCCAACAGGGGATGCCCTGTGCTTTTAGAGACCAGGCTGCTCTCACCTGGAACCCAGCTGGAGACACAGCTTCCAGCTGTTCCTCAAGCTCTTTGGCTTGGCTATAGTGAGGTGAAAATTTGAAGAAATCAAGAAAATTCTACATCTTTAGAATTTTGAAATCTTGTGTGTACCAGGTATGGTTTAGGTTTGTTGGTTTTTGGGTTTTTTTTGGAGGGGTTTTTGTTTTGTTTTTTTCTTGTAATACTTGAGATTTCCCAAGATAAGAAAGGGTACGTCAGTTACTCTGCATATAGGAGGAAGCTTCAGCTTCTGGGAAGTTTCAGTGTGGGATTCTGGGATGAATCTCTATGGGATTCATACTCCATGAAATTAAAACTAAGGGACAGTGTAACTGCCTTCCAAAATGACACTGGGGTGGGAGCTGGGGAAGCAAAACTACAAAATGCCAAGTGTTGGTTTCAGTAGTAAGGCTATGAAATTATTTCACTTTGAATTCAGGTTGTATTCTTGAGGTGAGGCCCCTTCTCTGCAAGGCCCCCAGCTGCTGTCCCATTAAATTTAATGGGAATTTGATGTGCTAATTATGAACAGAGACAGGAAGTCTTTGCAGTAATTGGCCCACCTTTTTCAAAATTTGTAAATAATGCAAATCTAATAATCAAAGCTAAGAAACAAAATTAGTGCATTTCAAAATCATTCTAGCTAACATTTCACCTTTAGACATAAAAAATTCAATCCAACGAGACTGAACTGGCTTAAATCAGTAATGCTGCAACAGGAAATTCAGACACTTCCCAAGACTTTTAAAAAATCCTCAAAAAATATATAAATTAAATTCAGTGGCTTACATTGTATATATGCTACATCATAAGGCAAAGTATAATGGAAAACATTTAACAATTTAAAAAGTACAAATGTTTTCAACTAGCAGTTTGGAACTGAAAGCAACTAAAAAGCAAGTCTATTAATGAAGGCTGTAAAACAAAAACAATCTTAAGAGGGCTGGGAGTGCAGCCCCTGGTCCTGAGAAGAATCTCACTTATCTTCAGTAGCTGAGGTATCATTTCCATCATTCAGCTTCTGCTTTTGCATTCTTGTTCGAGTAGATGCTACAAGAAAACCCAACAAAGAAAAAGAATGAAATACTTCTTCATAATTACTTTGGACTGATTATTGGAAAAATTTGTAATGACACAAGCAATAGAAGTACATTATTCTGTTGTAAACAAACCAAATCCCTCATTATAGGATGAACACCTGATTTTGCACTGTTTCAGCCATTCTTGCTCAATCTTACAGATCTTATGAAATTCCTTCCACCTGTTCACTCCAGTTCTCATTGTGTCTGTCCCCTCACTGTGTCCATTTCCACCCTCCAGGCGGGCAGATGGTCCATGTCCCATCAGGAATCTCGCCAGGCAGAGGCTGTGGGCTGAGCAGTGCCCACATCCCAGAGACAGCCTGCCCAGGAATGCCTTTTCCCCTCAGTGGCACACACCAACACCACTGGACACGAGACAGAGCTCTCCTTCTTAACCTCTACCATAAATCAACACTGAAACATTTTCCCTACCTTAAAATAGAGGTGCCTGTCACTCATACCTATCTTGATGAGCAAGGTAGGAGTTTTTAATGGGCAAATCTGCTCAGCTGCAGAGCTCAGATTCTCAGAGAGTGAGAATGCCTGGCCAGGCCAAGTGTGCTTCTCACAAGTAGAAAATACAACTCAGACATGGGGGTGGGGCTGTTTTGCTTTTTATCAGCTAGATTTGAATTTCATTTCAAAACAGAAAAGTGATGCCATAAGATCTGAAAGAAATGCTGACCCACAGCAGAAGAAAAACCAGTCTCACACATTTCCCTATAAAACCAAAGCAACAAAAAACCTACATATGGTTTTCCTGTGTACATAAATTTCCATTTTGTAATCTGCATTTTCAAGATTATATGCAGGAAGTACAAAAGCTAAGCAAATTATCCAGATCGCACCGGTGTTGAACAATGTTTTCATGTGAGTGGGCCCAAGCGCTCTTATCCAAGGCACTCAGGGCTCTACAGATTATGAGCAAAGTCATACTCACTCATTTCTGCAAGCTTTTGTTGGAACTTGGACTCCTGGGGTAGGTGTTTGCTACAGCAAGAAAGCATAAGGTTAAGTTAATAACTTTTTACCTTCATAACCTAAACTTTAAATAGAGTCACTTTTTGACATCAAAGCATGCAACTGAGGAGCTTCATGCTTCCATCTCTCATTTGATTCAGCTGCTAAAGCTCACAAATTACCACGAGAGAGGGTATCAGGAGGAAGTTAGGATGAAGGCCCTGAGACCCCAGTATATGCCAGATCTCTGCGGAGCCCAGGGCAATCTCTCACCTTCCATCTGCCTCGTCCGTCCCCTCGATATCGAAGCGCAGCCTCTTCAGTGGCTTCGGGGCAGCGGCTCCCACGTCTGCACTGCGCTTCAGCTGCCCCTCACTGTTGCACAACATCTGGTTGATTTTTTGGAACTTTTCAGAAGTCTGAAGTGACAAGAAAACAGGGAAAGAATTGCCAATAAATCCTGAAACCACTCCAACTTTCCAGATTATCCAAAAAAATTAGGAGTTCTTAAAACTCTGGAGTTTTAAGGACCCTTATCTTGTGCCAAAGCAAATAAAACTAAAATAAAATGCAACACGTTTTGAAGGTGAAGTCTAGATATTTGAAAGGAGTCAACAGAACTTTCCTATAATTCATTATTAAATCAGGTACACTCATTGGCCTGCTCTAGAGATGTGAGCAAGCTACCCCATTCCTCCAAAAGTTACATGCATTTAAGACCAGGCATCAAAGATGTTAAAACTCACCCCAAATGATTCTCCAATGGACACCAAAATTCTGTCAAATGAAGAAGAGAAGTTTAAGCTCCATTTAACAATAACAGAAGCATTGACTAATTTGCACAGGTTAGCACAAGGCACTAACAAGGTCTCTTCCTCTCTCTCTGCATTAACAGTGCAAATCCACACTGTGCTTTACTGTGTTGAGACATCTCTTTGAGCCACTGAATGCTCAATCACCAAATAAACTGAATCACACAGACAGACATGAAATTATGGCTTGAAAGAATCAGAGGCCCCCACAGTCTGTCCTGTATCAGAAAGAAAAGCCTTCAGTGCTGGGTACCCAGAAAATCATCCTCTCATCTCTACCCTCAGGTGTCTGCTAATCAAAGTCATGCAGGACTTCAACCTAAAGTACACAATAACATTTAAACTTTTGTGCACAGTG